TGCCTGCCTCTGCCTAAAGGCGTACACCACCATGCCTAGCCTCACTAAGATATTTATAAACCCATGAAACAAGCAAGGCATATCACCATCTTCCTTACAGTTCTGTAAAGAAGTTAAAACATGATGTGATGTGTTTATGGAAATGCACTGTTCACAAGATAGCTCTCTGCAGATTTAGGTGTAACTGTTTCAGCACTTAGATGAATAACTGCATAATCTAAAACCAAGAATAAAGAATAACTGTATTCAAATCACTTTCTTGTGATTTCTTGTGAGAGGGAAAAGAAAAAGAAAAAACAGTATCAAGCTTTTGGGACTGTAATACTTTAAAATTTCCTTTAAAAGTCACATTTCTAATACATCCCAAAGTAGGAGAACTGTACAGTGATGGTTATCATCCACTTTCAACCACTAACAACACAGTCAGCTATGCCTCCTTTTATGTCCTACTCAGTCACGTCCTCTAAGGGTCACAGAGTTATATTACAGTAAATCTCACATCATTTTCCTCCTAAATAGTTTAGAATGTAGCTCTAAAAAAAGGAATCTTTTTAGAAAAAAATAAAATACTGTTTCAAAGGGGAAAAAAAAAAAGAAAGAAAACCTAGTTAATATGATTAAATATCCAGCCAAACAAAAAATTCACCAAGTCTAATTCCGAGGAAAACTTTCCTGTGAGACTTAATACTCAAAACTTCAATCCTGCAATAAAAGGAAATAGTATAGTCTGGAGGCAGATAATAGAAGACTAGGGGCTTGAATGGGATTCCAGGAATGGTATATAAATCTATAACAAGGTTTTTCTTAGTTGACATCGTTAGCGTGTTGAGAACTTTGAGATCCAAGCATCTCAAGACTGCTTGCTCTTGATGATGGCTGTATGTGTGGTGCCACATCACTTCACACTGCCAGGAAGGATTAGTCAGGTGGGGTAGCAAATCCACCTAAAATAACTTTGAGATCAAATGAATTCAGCTAAGCAAGTAGTGAGAATCCACTAAAAGCAAGACACTGGGTTATATCTTTAGAAACACAGAGAAAGCTGGCCTCTCTACTTTAAACTCTAGAAGATGACCAAACCACTAATAAAAATGGTAATAGGATGTGATGAGAAAGGTACTTGCTAAATTATGCATTTTCATATGGTTGTAATCCCAGAAACAATGTTCATTTGAAGGAAGGTATGAAGGGGGTTGGTTGGCTGGCAGAGACTGCCAATAATGGTACCAGCAACCATGTCCTTTGTCAGTTCTACCCCCTGTACAGATTTTATTACCCTCCCTCTTTGCTGAGGGAACTGAATAGATGTGTTTTAGATGTCTGTGTTCCCCTCGCTAGGCAGTGGGAAGAGATAAGCTTGCAAGCTGGAGAAAAGCAGTTATATTTCAATTATTTGTTAAAAGATGAGTGGTTCACCAGAGCTGGGGAGGAGAGAATGGGTGAACAGGAAAAGGAGGTAATTCCAGGAAGAGAAAAGGAGGAACAAAGGGGTGGAAATTACTGGCAGGTTTATGACCTTGCAGCAGTGTGTGGGAGGAGCTGACTGGAAATGCCTGCTGGGACCACTGGTTGGAGCCTTACTTAATGACCAGTAGTGGAAAGCCAGTGAATATGATGGTACTTAGTATTTCTTGAACTAAGAGTACCTTGAAATAGCCAGGTGGGAAGAGGTGAGAAAGAAGCTTAAGAAACCACAGCCATGGGCCGGTAGGGTTGAGGGCAGAGGTAGCAGAAAGGTGCTAGGACATGTACAAGCACATTTCAAACATTTCCAAATATTATTATTAATTATTATTATTATTTTTGGTCTTTTTGAGACAGGGTTTCCCTGTAGCCCCAGCTGGCCTAGAACTTGCTGTGTAGACCAGGCTGGCCTTTGACAGCCCTCTGGCCACTTAAACTATATCCCTTCCCCCAGGCTTGCACGTTACAGGTTTGGGGTTTTTTTCTTCTCTCTTTTTGAGACCGGTTCCCTGCAGCCCCAGCTGGTCTGGAACTCGCTCTATAGACCAGGCTGGCCCTGATCTCAGAGATCCTGCCTGCCTCAGCCTCCCCAGTGCTGGGATCAAAGGCATGTGCCACCACGCTGGGCTTAAAAATTACTATTTTTAAAAGGTGAAGACAGATGCAGAAAAGAGTGTCATATATGGTCTATTATGCAACAGTATGCCCCCATTTTTGTAAAAACAATGGAAACAGTCAGATATGCTACAAATGCATAAAATAGCTCAGAAAGGTTATGGGTAAAGGCAAAGGTAGAGGCAGGAAGGAGATCTTTGTCCCCTTGGAATGTTGGATCACATGGCTGTATTATATATTAGCTAGTCTGAAGAATGTATAATTTCCTACTTACTACCAGGCACACGAAGAATGAAAGAAAAGGTTTTATTTATTTATTTATTTACTTAGGTTTTTTTTTTTTTATCTTTGAGACAGATTCTCCCTGGGAACTTGCTATGTAGACCACAGTGGCCTTGATCTCAGAGAGCTACCTGCCTCAGCCTCCAGTGTGCTAGGATTAAAGGTATGTGGCACCATGCACAGCTTGCTATGGTTTAACATTTTATTAAATCACTATTAATATTATTACATTTTTGAGACAGGGTCTCACTATGTGAACCAGTCTAGCCTAGAAGGCACAAAGATCTACCTAGCTCTGCCTCTCAAGTGCTGGGAATAAAGGCACACACTGCCACTCCCCAGAAAAGAAAAGGCTTTAGAGCCGGGCATGGTGGCACATACCTTTAACCACAGCACTTAGGAGGAAGAGGCAGACGGATCTTTCTGAGTTCAAGGCCAGCCTGGTCTACAAAGAGTTCCAGGCCAGCTGGGGCTACAGGGAGAAGCTGTCTCAAAAAGACAAAAAACAAAAAGAAAAGGCTTTAAAGACAGATCAACCAATCTAGGCTCTAATTCCAGCACTGACACCTCCTAACTGTGGGGATATCGGCAAATTAACTTCCTTACTTTTCGTTCTTATTTGCATAAATGGGGATAAGACTAATTCCTGGGTTGTTGTAACAATGATTAATATCCTATGCAAAGTATCTGGTGAATATCTGAAACAGACTAATATTCAATATGAATAGCCATTTTGTTATCAATTAACTTCTTTGATGTGAGTACATTTCAGTAAGCTCATTAGGCAATCTAGCTTTGACATTAAATATTTATATTGTACAAAGCTATTAATGTAAGCAATCTGAACGCTCTCCATTAGATATGTTTCCGAAATTTAAACCAGATATAGGATTTATCTTCACTTCTAGGTGGATGTTGTTCTTTGTCCTTATATATCACTGATTCTAAATTAAAGTCATGTATTCACAGAGAATTAAATACCAACCAAGTGTCCATAAACACCAAGAAAATAGATTTAAGTTGCTATCCTCTAGGAACTGACAAACCCCAGTGAGACAAACAGGTGTGACCTTCAAGTAACCATGGCCCAGATTTGGCACAAGAGATGGAAATCCTGGCAGTGAAGCACCCAGCTCTGCCTATGCATCTGCTGATCCCATGTGAAGTCACATGCAGGGGTTACTCCTCAGGCATTTTCTTAGGTTTGTGTGGGTTCTTTTGCAGGAGGTAGAATAAATGAGTTGTAACTGTAGCAGAAGTAGCATTGTGTTACAAAATCCTGGTCACTCTCAGAACCCCTACTACTTGTTTGAACAGTTACATCATTATTAAAGCATCATTAAACAAAAGTTTCTTTGTTACACATTGAGATGAATAATTACCAACCATTTTCATGTGAGAATCTGCTCCTCCCTACCCAAGCTGGGGGTGGGGGGCTGGAGGGGGAGGGAAAACGGGCAGCTGCAGTTTAGTAAAGATTTTTATTAAAGGCAAGAAATAACGAACATATTCCCCGGATTTGGGGCCTGTTAGTAAATGCTTTGAGCAAAATGAAGATAGAAAGCCAGAGGAAAAGACATTTTACTTTATACATAGTCCTGTGGGAATAAGGAATGATATCGGGGAAGCTTAATAAAAACCACCTACATAATTATTCAAATATTTTTTTCTGGCACAGACGGGTTTTGAAAGAGACATCAGTACTAGTCTGTAGAGAAACAGTGCAGCCGTGAGCAGTCATTTCTAAAGAAGCTGTGATTGACGCTGTAAATACGCTAGGGATATGCACCTTGGGAAGTATGACTGACTGCATATTTTGACACGCACGTCTTGTATCTGAACCACAGAATGGTACACACTTTATTTATCCCTTATCTACCTATGGTGGAAGCTCCAGGCTCCACATCACAGTTGAAGGCTGGATTAAGAGTCTAATCTAAGCCTATATATAGACAGCAACACCAATTTAATCCCCGCCCTCTCCACCCTCCCCTCCTATTTCCATAAATCTCAAAATCCGAGTTACAAAGAGGCAGGGAACTCTCTCGGAGGGGCGAGATACCCCCGCACACACCTTTACTTGCTATTTGTGCAAGTGTAAATTGCTTCCAAGCATCCTTAACAGACACCATTGGACCATAGGTCCGAGGTTCTTCTCCGGCTTCCGCAGAGGTCAAGACATGACAAGAGTGGGGAGGGCGAGCCTTGCCCAAAGGAAACTTACCTTCTGTGAGCCTCTCGTCACGCGGTCAGCTCACCAGCCACAGGGTGCTCCCCTCGCCGCCAACCCGGGCTCGAGCCCGGGCGCGGGCCTCCCCGGGGACCGCATTTCAGGTGCCACGCACGAGACCATGTGCACCCGCCGCTTGCACCGCGTGGCCAGCCTCCGGCCGTCCGCGATCCCCGGGGCTCCTGGGGCGGCCAGACGTGACCAGACCCAGGTCTTCATCGCAGGGCACCGATAGGCGGTACGTGCGCGGTGATGCTGGGGTGGCGTGTGGGCTCCTCCACCGAGGCAGGCGACCGCCCCAGGAGGCACATGCTTCCTCCCCGCCAGTTCCAGCCTGGTTGGGAGCCCGTGGCGCTCCCGGCTCCCGCAACCCTCCGGCTTCCGCCACCCTACCTGGGCCTCCTCTTACCTGTCCAGGGAGGGAGCGACGACGCGCGGGGCTGGCGGCTGCGGCGGGTCCTGCAGCGGCAGTGGCGGCGGAGGCTGCAGCGGCGGAGGCAGACAATGGAGGAGTGAAGGACAGACACATTGACATAGACACACGGAACCCGGCGTAGCTCCGCCTCCAGCCTCGGCCCCGCCCCCGCCCCGCCCTCGCCAGGACCGCGTCACTCCCGGGGGCGTGGAGGGCGTAGAGCGACATGCAGGGGCCTCTGCACATCGCCAAAGAACCGAGAGGGTCAGAGAATGGTCACACTGAACACATCGGTCATTCTGTGACCCTGTGTTTCGGAATGGGTGGGCATGGGGGTGGAAACGCAGAGGAGGCCTTGTCTCCCCTCACCCAGCTGTTTTCTTTTGGTTTGGCCCTCGAGGGCCGCTCCAATTGCAGTCTCTGGATGCTGCCTCTTGCGGCTCCTCCTCCCGGCCGGGCCAATGAGGTGCGGGGGGCGTGGCCTGCAGCTGGGCCGGCAGAGTGCGCGCGCCCGGGCTCGTTGCAGCCGGCCGGCCAGCCAGCCCTCGGGAGCGAGGACCCGCTGCCGTGGGCTACTCTGTCCCGGCCTCGACTTGCCTGTCTTGCGGCAGACTCTCAGTGCGCACGCATCTCTGGTTTGTTAAAAACCCTCCCCAAGAAACAGAATAACCTTCAAGCTGGCGGGAGCTATGGGTCACATAAAGAAAGGCGAGCTGACCCAGGAGGAAAAGGAGCTGATGGAGGTGATCGGGAAAGGTATGGGTGTGGGGCTGCGACTCTGGGGACGTCACGACCCGGGGGACTCTTGGCAACTTGGCGTCCGAAAAAAATCTGTCATTGGCTAGGGACGGATTGCGGAGGAGATAGGAAGGAGAGGCATTGTTGGGGCCAGAGCGGAGGTTGCAGAGTTTCGTCCTCTAAATCAGCTTTTTGGAACTGGAAAGATTGCCACGGTCCCTTGTAGACGCGCGTCCCCGGGGTGCGGGGCCCGTCGTGCATCACCCGCTCCTCGGGCGAGTTGTGGCCGCAGCCTGCCTTGATCATAGTGGCCTGCTAGTTCCTGGCTCTTAGGCCGGTGTCTAAAGGGCCCTTTCGACTTCCGGAGGCCGAAGGATCTGAATCCCTTGCGGGTCCCCGCCCATGTTGGGGGTGGAGGGAGCTCTCTGCGAGCGAGGTTCTTTATAGGGGTAGAGAGCTCGGTCTGTAAGTTCCGCCTTGAGCTTTCCGCCTGCACCGCCGAGGTGGCAGACGCGGGAACCTGCAGGCAGGCGAGAAGATGGGCGAGACTCGCACGCCGCCCGTGAGCCAGCGTGGCACCGCTGTGATCTCTAATCGCGCTCCTTGGTGCTTCCCCTTAGTGGACTTGTGTCCCGCTTCCATTGTAAAGGAACGACCCGTGCGAGCCAGAAGCTAGTGGACATCCCAGAGGAGTTCCCCGAGGAATCCCGTTACCTGTCAGGTGACATCAGCATGACCTCGTGCACTGTCACTCTGGGATGAGGATGCGGGGGCCATATGGGCATGATTAATGTGGATGTTTTAAATTCAAGAGTTAAACGTCCTCTCTCGGATGACCGAGAAGCTAGACATTGTGGCGTAGGGCTCCTCAGTTTCCAGTCTTCTAAGTAGTCAAAATCAAATCCATAATTGCAGAGACTAGCAAGGAATGTCCACAAAAGTCTGAAAAGAGGGAAAAAAAATGGTTTGTGCTCAACAGGCGACGAGGAACTGAGCTTATTGAGTCTGATCTCAATTCTAAATCAGTTACAACTAGGCTCTTTCTCAAGGTAAGCAATTTTTGCCTGAAATCCTAGAGCTTTGGGTTGGGTTTTTATTCTATGTACTACATGGGTATTGGCCTTGTGTTTTGTCTCTGGGTTATTTCTCCCGGCCTTTGGTGGCTTTGGAATTCCGTTTAGTGAACGTGAACAATCTGTGTGCCAGGTACTGTACCCGACAAAATGAAGAGAGGATGGATCAACCTATAATTCACCAGGGATGATAATTCTGATTTTTAAACAGGCTAGAGCAGTCACATGTTGGTTTAGAAGTGAGAACCAGTGAGCAGTTCAGAGAAAATGGGTTTTCAAAGAGGAGATAGGAGTTCATGGACAGCCTATTCAAAGGTATACAACAGGTTTTATTCTCAAGATAGACAGAATTAATATGCTTCATACTCATATTTCTTGGGCCACCTTGTGTATCAAGGTTTGTGAGTGCACAGATGCTGTTTTTCATTCTGTAAACTGCCCCAAGCCAATGAGGAAAGAACTGAGGTGGGCCTGCCTATCAAATCAAGGTCTTTGTCATCTTTGCTCTCTCAAGAAAAGTATCCGGAGATGGGAGAAGAGAACTGAAGCTGACACAGGCATAATTCTGAGCACTTGGCGTGTATTCATTTAATCTGGAGGAGCTAGAATTTTTTTCTGAGTTATAGCATGAGGAAGCACAGGATGGTGGTTAACCATACCAGTCTGCCTTTGAGTACCTCCTGCTGTCATTTGCTGCTAGTGTGGCCTTGTGCAAGCTGCTTTTTCTAAGTGTCAGATTCTCCATGTGGAAACAGGAAATACTAGTCCCTACCTCACAGCATTGTGGTGAGGATGAAGTGAGTTAGTGGAGGTGAAACATTGAATACACTATGCTGCCTGCTTTGATAAATATAATCTCCCCTTCAGAGAAAAGGAAGCTTAAGTGGGAGGACTTTTAGAAACCTTACAGAAATCTACTATTTCAAAATACATGTTACAGTAGAAGTGTCTGTTTTTTTTTTTTTTAAATACATTTATTAGCTGGGCGTGGTGGTGCACGCCTTTAATCCCAGCACTGGGGAGGCAGA